GAAAGAGTTTAAGTGGGATTGGCTACTTTGTGATCGAGTGAAAAGTTTGAGGTGAATTAGGATATGTCAATATTTACTTATTTAGAGCAGTCTAAGGTGCAACTAGTTGTTTGCTATTTTTGAAGTAAGCTTTTGCAGAAAAGTGCAAAAAGTACACATTTATTTTGAAAACATAACTATATAAAAAGGATTTTGATGCATCCTATGACTGTCATTAATATCTCGGTGTACCCTCATTTATTATGGAATCATTATTCAAATAAGACTTCAAAGAGTTTTATTTAGTTAAACTTTGCTGAATGTGGATGACTTGATGCTCGGCCCTGTTCGTTTCGCTCATTCAAGTTGAGAACTTGAGTTAAAAAATGATTTCATGTAAGAGAAAACATTGTAGCAAAAAAGGTTGAAATTGAATTTTTGTGAGAGAAAATACTGTAGCAAAAACTTGAGTTGTGATTTGAACTAGTGAAACGAACGGAGATCTGTAGAATTCATTTTGGCTAGATGCATCAAACTCAAAACATGTTGCAGATTGGAAACTGTTATTTTATATTATTGATTTTTTGAAAAGGAAACTTTCTTGTGTAGTTATGTTTAAGAGATAAGACATACTAAAGTTGGTTATCTGTGATTAAAGTTTGGGTGCAAAATTTTAGTCCGGCCTTTCTATCATAACTCTCAGATGGTTGTTGTTCAAATTTCTGCGTGATGTAGAACGTCCATTTGTCACAAACTTAAAGCTAGTTCTTTAGTGTCTTGAATGAGCTCATCTTAATTTATTGCCTAATAGTTCGTAAAAAGAAGTTGAGGTGAAATGGTCTAGAAATGCAGGTATTTGGCTGAGGCCCATGTTCAAGCAATGCAGTTTGATAGAGCAGAAGAATTGTGTAAGAAAACTCTCGAAATCCATCGTGTTCATAGTGAACCGGCATCTCTTGAGGAGGCAGCGGACCGAAGGCTGATGGCCCTTGTATGTGAGGCAAAGGGTGATTATGAAGCAGCCCTTGAGCATCTTGTCCTTGCCAGCATGGCAATGATTGCAAATGGGCAAGACAATGAGGTTGCTGCTATTGATGTGAGCATAGGCAACATTTACATGTCTCTTTGTCGCTTTGATGAGGCAATTTTCTCCTACCAGAAGGCACTCACTGTTTTTAAGTCATCAAAGGGCGACAACCATCCTTTGGTTGCTTCTGTCTTTGTACGTCTTGCTGACCTGTACCACCGGACTGGAAAGCTTAGGGAGTCCAAGTCATATTGTGAGAATGCACTGAGGATATATGCAAAACCTGTGCCTGGAACTACAGCAGAAGAAATTGCTTGTGGGTTGACTGAAATTTCTGCTATTTATGAGTCTGTTAATGAACCTGAGGAGGCACTGAAGCTATTGCAAAAGGCAATGAAGTTGTTGGAGGATAAACCAGGACAGCAAAGCACAATTGCAGGAATAGAGGCACGGATGGGAGTGATGTTCTATATGCTTGGACGATATGAAGAAGCAAGGAACTCTTTTGAGAATGCTGTAGCAAAACTTAGAGCTAGTGGAGAGAGAAAGTCAGCTTTCTTTGGGGTTGTGTTGAACCAGATGGGGTTGGCTTGTGTGCAGCTGTTCAAGATAGACGAAGCTGCTGAGTTGTTTGAAGAGGCAAGGGGAATATTGGAACAAGAGTGTGGTTCTTGTCATCAAGATACCATTGGGGTGTATAGCAATCTCGCAGCAACCTACGATGCTATGGGGAGGTAATATATCATATCAACCTATGGTCAGCATACTTGTAACTAACGTTGATTAAATCAACTTATCAAGGAAAAATAATTAATAAAATCACGATAAGGATAAATATTCTCTGCCTGCCCTTTGACCTAAGCCAATGAAACTGGATTCTAAAATGGTAAAAGATATGATTATTGGTAATTGGTCAATACTGTGAAATCATCTAACTTTCATAAAGGACTTAATATTGCAATCTTTCTTTGTTGTGATAGTTGAAAATTTGAATCCATGTATATACAAATGTGTAGTTCTTATGATCTCTGTATGTTTTGACCTATCTCCGTTCTTTCCGGTTTCCAGATGTCATAAGATATGCAAACATAAAAGTTTGGTTTATCAAGATCTTTGTTATGGATTGTGTTTCTCTTGTTTTTTACAACATGTTCTCTTGTTTCTCTTGTTTTCTCCAAGGATGACTTCTGCTTTTATTTACTTCCAGTTCAATTTGTAGCTGCACTGTTTACTCTCTCTCTCTCACTCTAATTGGATTGCTGCAGAGTCGATGATGCAATTGAGATCCTGGAGTATGTACTTAAATTGCGAGAAGAAAAGCTTGGAATTGCAAATCCCGATTTTGAGGATGAGAAGCGAAGGCTAGCTGAGCTTCTGAAAGAAGCAGGCAAGACTCGAGACAGAAAGGCTAAATCACTCGAAAACCTCATTGATCCAAACTCAAAGAAGACGAAGAAAGAGGTGACAAAGAGATGGCCTGGTTTGGGGTTTAGAATTTGAAGAAACATCCTCATTACTCTTCTGCGTTCATCTGATTTCTTACGAAGTGCACATTATGTAACATAGATCATATCGTGTATAGGGTTGAAGTCTCTTAATACGGCGAGGTTTTCGGTTTCTTGAGCTTTGAAAATTCTCATTTATTTTTCTCCCGTTAATTATTTTATTGAATGTCTGCTGTTGCGAGCTTGAAGTTGTTCACTGAAAAGGCAAAATGAATGTTCATCTTGAGTGAATAAGATTCTTTTATGTTTTCTTCCCACATCTCATTTCTGTTTGCAAGAGTTTTGGGTATTTTGCTCCGCTTTACTGTACAAGTTGTGCAATTTTCATGGTGGATTGAATCGTCAATCTTGCTAATAATATGTATGATTCATACATTAGCTGTACAAAAATTACCCAGTTCATATTCTGCTGATAAACATGGTAGGATTTTGTTAATAATTGATTTTCCGTACAATACAGGACAACTATATTATTTATCATAAAATACCGGCTAAAAAAAATAGCAAATTGCATAATTTACCTTTGAGTATGCGTGAGTTTAAATTTTTATTTTTTATTCTTATCAATATTTTTTATTAATGTAATAATTTAACTAAAAAAATTATTAAATAAAAATAAAGAGTAAAAATTTTAACTCATGTATCTTTAAAAGATATTTATCAAAATTACCTCAGCATTACCACCTGCTTGTCTGGCAAAAGGATTATCTCTCTCACAAAAAGTTGAAGAACTGTCGATCATTCCATATTCATCATCTATACTTTTTTTTTTTTTTCCTGCGGGACTAAAGTTCTATGATTTTGATTATTTTATTAGTTGGGCCAATACACCACTATATACTAATTCGTAGCCGAACCTAATATTGAATAAATTCTTGATAATTTGAAGCCGTTAGCTTAAAGTTTGGAACAATTATTAGCTGACTATGAATCAAATATTGAAAGTAGACCATTATAAAATAGAGGAAAACAAACTGAAAGATTCAGAAAGCTAAATGGGTTCGACTGTAAACCAATTAAAATGAAATGTTACGAAAGTGTAAAAGACCATGAACATGCAAGATTCTCTCTCATCATTTACAAATTGTGTAAAAGACCATGAACATGCAAGATTCTCTCTCATCATTTACAAATTGTGCGATATGAATAAGCATGTAATCAACTCATTTAAGGGAGTTTTTTGGTAGGACAAGAAAAAAATAAACTGTCAATAATTTTTTATTTTCAGCTTTTAGATCTTTATAAAAACTGTCTGTTATATATATATATATATATATATATTTCAAAATAATGTCATTTTAATTAGATCTAATGATCGAAAACTAGCCCTAACAGTGGGGAGATTCTACCGAAGAAAGTCCCTTTCTATACACAGAAAGCTAATTAGTTCTTGTTAGATAGGTATTCCACTTCCAACATTTTTTTTAAAGGTCGGAAGTGATCAAACATTGATAAAGTAGTGATTAATTTTGAGAATGACAATATTCCTAATTGTTTAATTTGTAAAAAGAGAAACATGTCTACTGTAGGATATTGCTATGTAAACTTCAACCAAAAGTTTTGGATTTGGCCTGGCGATCAATCCAAACCATCAGATATCAAATGTGAAAAGTGAGACTCTAAATCAGAATTAGATTCAAGCCTAATTATGTTGTATACACCATACTTTGGACGGCATATGGAATATGTTCTTATGTACATGACTACGATTTGTAAGTTCCGACTCTTATTGATTCTCATTGTTTAAGTTGGTAATGGAAAAAAAAAAAAAAGCATACTAGATAGAAAAGTGGGAAAAAAAATAAAGTTAATCCCACAAATAGTTCTCAATTTGACTGTTAATCTCATTTTAATCATTGATTTTTAAAATGTTCTAAATTTAACTCCAATCTATTAGGTCGTTTTGGTTTAAACCTTTGAAACATGACGATATTCGTCTTTCATGTGCAAATCTCATGTCTTAAACCGTCAATTTGATAATACTCGCTAACTATTGGACTTCAATTGTAACTGATTTTAAAATTTAGGGTGCAGTTTATCAAAATCAAAAGCTTAAGGTGCATTCTTCAAAAACTGAATAGTTTAAGGTGTACCAGTGCAATTTACTCTATGCACAGTAATAATAATTATTGTTAGAATAATTTGACAGGGCTATGACATAAAAGAGAATAGTCAGATCTCGATACAATTTCTGTGGAATATTTTTTAAGTATTACATTTAAGATCATTAAGTTGTTGTTTAAAGAGACGAATTTTAAGATCTTTAATTTTGGTGTCTTGATCATCTATATCGCATATTAGGTTTATATTGGTAGTAAGTTGCATATACATAATCAAAAAAGTAATTTCCATATATGTTTAATTAGTTTTCTAATTCACGAGTAAGGAATAATATTCGATAGAATAAACTGAAAAAAAAAAAAAAAAAACTCCATAAGTACTATTTATTAATGATTTAATATGAGCCGATTTATTATTACTAGTCAAATTATTAGTGCTAAACTTATTTAGATTTTTAAGCATCTCTTCTCGCTTATTGGCCTAGCTATATTTATCAAGTAAGTCAAAACAGTATAAGTAATGGTTTTCTTTTAATTAGCTTTACAATTTCGCCAGTACATAATTCATATATATATATATGTGTGTGTGTGTGTGTGTGTGTGTGTGTGTGTCACTCTTAGCTTCGTCATTTCTTCATTTTCTTATCATCATCAGATAATATTTCAAAAATGGTTTCTACTGAAGCTGCTCGAACTGCAGTTGGTATAATAGGTAATACTTATATACATATAATTATTGGTCAAAAGTAATTCAGTTTTTATGATCTATTTTTTTGTATGTGCGCCTGCATGTGTATATTTTCAGCTAATTATTGTCGTTTCTTGCTCTTCTTAAAACCAAAAGTGTTACTACAACGTTTCGTTGTTTTGCTCATTTTCAGGAAACATCATCTGCCTCTTCTTCTATTTATCACCAGTGTAAGCTTATAATTCATTAATTGTTATACATAATCTCTGCTTTCCTTTAGCTTCTTAAACGGCAGATCAAAAAGAACATTATGGGTTGTTGTACTATTTAGGAGTCTTCCGCAATAAAGGCAGTTCATGTTTCTAAATGTTATTAGTAAATTAAATCACAGTCACAACAAAGTTAAATAGTGAATAAATCTAATCACGGTTTTAAAACAATAAAGAATTTCATGGCGGGGCATGAAAACCCTATTGGCAACGCTTTGTTTTAAACCCTCATATCGGTATTAAATTTCTTTTTTTTTTTTCATTTTAATATTGATACATTGACAAAATCAAACGCTCAGAAACATAAACTACTCTCATATCGGTATTAAATTTTATTTTTTAAAAAATTTTAGTATTGATACATGGATAAAATCAAACATTCATAACATAAACTACTGAAAGGGCATGCCTACATTTAAAAAAAGAAAAAAAGTTAAAGCATGCACATAGAAAGACAAGATGTATGTACGTATATTTTTTTTAATACATGTTGAGTATTTAAATAATAAATAATGATATGTTTTTAGGCCAACTTTTGTGCGCATATGGAAGAAAAGGTCAGTAGAGCAGTACATAGCATTCCCATACCTTGCAGCCCTAATAAACTGTTTGGCGTGGACCATCTACGGGCTGCCCATGGTGCAGCCTGGTAGCATCCCGGTCCTAACTATTAGCGCCGCCGGGGTCGCGGTCGAGTCTGTCTATGTTGTGCTCTTCTTCATCTTCTCCGATAAGCGAAAAAGGCTCAAAGTGCTTCTAATCTTGCTCGTTGGCCTCTCATTCAATGCTCTTCTTGGTTGTCTGGTTCTTACGTTAGTTCATACACACAAGAAGAGGTCCAAGATTGTCGGCATCATATGTGCCTCCTTTAGTGTTCTCATGAACTTTTCTCCATTGGCAGTCATGGTTAGCCGAATCACTCTAATTTGCATGCTTTTTTTTTAAAGGGAATTTGCATGCTTGTATATATTGTACAATTTGCTAACCATATATTATATGTATCAACAAAACTCTGTAACCTTTAGTACAAATAGGCGATATTCACGACGACGGTTAAAAACGTTATCATATGCATTATCTGATGCACACATGGCATGATGCACTGACAAATATATATATATATATATATATATATATATATATTGTATACTGCCTCCACATGAATAAACCAAGAAAAAAAAATTATTGCATGTATCGACAAAAATATTCACAGATTATTATGTACCAGTCACTTATGATGCCACAATATGTGAGCCACAGAATAAACGTAATTGAGGAAATTTTTTTTTTCCTTTCTGGTGCAGAAACTGGTGATCACGACAAAAAGCGTGGAGTTTATGCCATTCTACCTGTCCTTTGCTTCCTTTGTCAATAATGCTGCCTGGGTTATTTATGCTCTTCTCCGCTTTGATTCTTTTGTCCTTGTAATTCGTTAACTCGAGCTCTTTCTCTTATAGTATAATTATATAACATTACATAACATATTTCTACCAAAAGAAAAAAAAACATCACACAACAATAAATGATAAAGAGTACTAGGATTATAATAACTCTAATCTCAATTTATTAATACCAATTATGTGGGTTGTCATTTTTTTTATTTATAGGTGTTTTAAAAGTTGTCACGTTAATTAATTATAACAAGATTTTACATCTGTAAGTAAAAAGATGACAACTAGCTGACACGTGAGTTACATAAAAAGTTGAGATTAGAATTAGGCATCGTTCATTTCACCGATTCGAGTTTTTAGTTTTAAGTTTCTACAGTAAAAAGTTCTCAGAAAATGTCACATCTAACTTTTTCTGTTACAGTAAAAAGCTTTTAGAAAATGTCACATCTCAGTTCGAATTGAAAATTCGAATCCGTGAAGTGAACGAGGCCTTAATATGTCCGGGACTATTATGAATTTGTGTCTATGAATAGTACTATCTATTCATTGGTTAGATGAATCTCCTACTGTATCTACATATACGTGTGCATTCTACCCCTTTATGTACGTATATTTCCATTGAGATACTAAGGAACTGATGGCAGCTGTTTGGGCTGCGATTCCTATCAGATACCCAATGGCCTAGGCTTACTGTTTGGGCTGACCCAGCTGATTCTTCATGCTGTGTACTCTAAGTCCACAAAGGAACTGATGGCAGCGAGGAAGGGGCCGAAGGGCAAAGAAGTTGATTTGTCAGATGATGTTGTGGCTGAAGAACCGCCCAAGAAGATCATAGGCATCATCACTCCTGAGAATGGTCCTGATTCTGATAATCATTAAACGTGATGGTCATCACAAACATGACGAGCTCCTGATCTATTTTCCACCATCTGATTCTCATCCTCATTATTAGAGTAGCTAGAGAAGCTTTAATTTGTCTACGTGAGCTAATTATATATGACGTCCATGTTCACAATGGGACAATAATTAGTCGTAACAAAATTCTCTCCTGTATCTTTTAAAATGTGGAAATATATATTCCCTTAAGCACTTAGTATATCCATATATATATATGTCTATATAGATATCATGTATGTATTTAAAGTACGTTTACACTTTATTCCTCTTGTTTATAATAATCAGATAAAGATAAATATTCCTTTGACGTAAAGGGCAATTTATAATAAGGCTGTATAAAGGGAAAGGATTCACTATTCGTATTGTACTTCTAAACACTTTGGAATATTTTTGAGAGAGATCTGTGCGTTGAATTACCGGTAGAAAATCGGAGGAAACTTTTCTAGGGACCTAGAGAAGACTGTACACTATATGTGGGATTGTCTTACACTGCATGTCTATGGACGTAGCTATATAAATATATGTTTTTACGACTATACTTAAAACTTTTGTGTTCGTTTTAATTTGAATTGAGAATTTAATTTTTACGTTGCTTGTATATGTTAAGGAAAATATCCAGTCGACGCTCATGTGCTGTACACTAGCTAGCTATATTTGGTTGTCAATATCCCATTTTTTGTGTAATTGTTGTATCATATAAAATCAGTGATAGGACAATTAATTACTTCCTTTAATTTATGTATCAATTATGTAAAGCTAGTATACTTGTTTCTTTCTTTCAAAAAAACAAAACAAAAACAAAAACCACTTGTAGTGGGATTGAGAAATCTAGATTATCCTTCTTCTTTTTTATCTTTTGTTTTTCTGTTTTCCTACATTATTGTTGGACTTCAAAGCACCTATGGTCCGAAAGTCAATGATTTAAATTTGAGAAAAGTACATGGTTTGCTATGATTTTGTATGGGCCTATTATTTATATCATTCTAAGTAATTAAATGTCATCGTGACTTTTTATTTTTTATTATTAATTGAATGAAAATTGTTTATTTTTTAGTGTAGTGGCGTAATTTTATTTTATTTTATTTTTTTTATTTTTTTGCCTCTTGACTGGCATTACTACTATTTTTGGTTTTTTCTTATTTGAAATAAAATTCATGAGACGGGAAAGTATTTTTTCGAATATTAATATATTGACACTGAGTGAATAAGGTATGATCATGTTTATGGAAGATCATGGCTTAGAGCATGGAGATTATGTTCGTGATTATGGAGTATCGCGAGGCGAATTGGAAATCGGATCCAACACTACCGTAGATGCTTCCGCACACACACTCGGTGCGTTTTTCCTTCAACTACTTTGATTCTTATGTGTATAAAAAATTTATAGTATCGTAATTACTTATCAACACTTTGAGGAGCCTTCTCATTATTCCCCGAGAATATGATAATGAAGAAAATTAAGCAAAAAAAATCACTTTACATTGATTATATATCCATCTACTGTCACATATATATATATACACACACAGATATTATTATTAATAGCGGCATTACTTTGTTTTTAACCCGTTTGACATTTGGTAAGTTTGTGTAAGCAAATATATGTACGTTCCCTTTTACGCAGATTAATTACGTTGTTTTCTAAGTTTGTAACAAATTTTTTATTCGATTAAATACTACTCCTCAGCACTATGAGAAGCCCTCTAGAATGACCACTACTCTCTGTCTCTGATATTGATTCTGTTAATCACATTCACGGTATCCAAGCAATATTAATTACATCTTATTGACTTCTTTGTGATTCCCCTCTTGAGAGTGTCTAAAGCTAGCGGGAATTCGTGCTCTTTTTTCCCTTTTTTTAATTATTTGGCTTCGATACTTATTCTAAAATCATAATATACACACACATATATATATATAGACCTAGTTGCAACTTTCTTTAGCATTTTCGCATTTTTAAACGAATTAACCCCGCATATGTTCTCACTCACTGATGGGCCAAAAAGTCATGTCAAATTATGTAAACACCACTTTCTTATAATAAGCTCTCAACTTGCACAAAGACAAACAACGTACCTTCTGTTGACGGTAATAAATTTTAAAACCGTTTGCGCGAATTCAATAATAAACACAGTTAAAAGCAATCAAATTATAAGAACATGCGAGAATTATAGTGATTCACCATTTATTCAATAGTTACATCTACTGTGGGGAAGAGAGAATCCACTAATTTTTAGAAGAATTACACTCTAATTGCTCTCAATGAGACCGTGGGATTTCTTAACTTACAATACCTTATTTAAATTTGTTGACTATTGCCCCAGTTGTTTCCTCCATTTAATTCAGGAATATTTCCCTCATTTATTAGGATAACGTCCCGAAAGATGGAGGTTACAATCAATCAGGATGATTTGGTTGCTTAAATTCCGTATAATTGAATTACACAGCAAATCTCAGAGCAAATATCGCATCTCTCGCGACTTGCATAGACTTGACCTCATAAGTGCTCCTAGAATCATCTTCGCCTTGATGCGGTCGACCTACTGTTGTTCTCAACTCCTTGAAGCAGTCAACCGTCTACATACGCCACTCCTTTAACTAGCGGTCTACTCTTAAGAGAACCGTCATCCGACGTGACAGCTATGGTAGAGCCATCCCTTGTTTATGACACACGGGCCCATTTGATGCCCAATTTAAGGTTTTGGATTGTACCCTACAATACCTTCAATATTGTATATTTCAGCTAGTAAATATTAATCTCGACTACTTATTAGCTAGTTCCCAAAAGAATTAAAAGAAAACAAATATTGACGTTCAACTTGTCCCTTTAAATATTGCTTTAATTAGCTCTTTCTTTGTCTTCATCATCACTTAGCACGTTCCAAACGATGGTTTCTGCTGAGGCTGCTCGAACTGTCGTTGGTATCATAGGTTGGTATAATCAAATTAGTCTTACTTCGTTTGTGTTTATAAGGAAAAATTATAATAATTAATAATAGTGTGTGTGTGCTTGCTTTAATTTAGCTTCACATATTTTTCCTTCTAATGTTGTTAGGAAGACGCATATTTATTTTTCCTGTGATTTTATCTTTTTAAAAAACTCAAAAACTGATGTCTGATCGGAACTAATGAATGTTTTGAATATTTACCGGAAACATCATTGCACTCTTCTTCCTCTTGTCCCCAGCGTAAGCTTTAATATTTAACTGTAAGTTTTCTGCTTTTGATCTTTCTTTTAGTTTATAAATACATATATAAGGTCCTAATGAATGATAATTACAATAAGGTTGCTTACATGTTATAAAGCGCAACAGATTTAATTGCCAACTTATTTTTCTTATTTATTTTCCATAATATTAATTAGAAAGAAATCGCAAACAATTTTTAGACCGACTTTTGCACGAATATGGAAGAAGGGGTCGGTGGAGCAATACTCGCCCGCTCCACACCTCGCAGCCCTAATAAGTTCCATGCTCTGGACATTCTATGCGCTGCCGATGGTGCAGCCAGGTAGCCTTCCGGTCCCGAGCATCAATGCAGCGGGGATTGTTATCGAGACTGTCTACATCATTCTGTTCTTGTTATTTTCCGACAAGAAAATGAGGTCTCAAAGTGCTTACAGTGGTGCTCTTTGGCTCTAACTTTGGTCCCTACACACTCAAAGAGGTCAACGATTGTTGGCATCATATCTGTCTTCTTTACCACCATAATGTATTCTTCACCATTGGCTATCATGGTTAGTCCCTCTAAAACCTACGCTTATCATCTTTCTTTCATATTTTATTTTTTGTGTTTCACATTTTGTAATTCTTTACAATTTTTTCTTTCTGTTTTGCTTTTTTACCTTCCTTAAAGCTCCTATACAATTTATTTGTTGGTAGCCTCTACAGTGAAATTTCTTTAAAAAAACACCGATACAACACCATGTTTTAATTGTTAGATTAAGTTTTCAATGGTCAGATTTGGATAGGTTCGTATTAAAAATTTACAACACTCCGCACATAACTACTCCCTTTGCAGATCTGACCATTGAAAAAGTAATCAAACAATCAAAATAGGGTGTTGCACTGGTGGAGTTTTTTAGGGAGTCTCCCCGTAAAGAAACCCTTATTTTTTATAATGTGCATTATTGAAATATTTTTTTCATGCTTTATTTCTGTTGACACAATTTCTTTTCAATATATCCTTTTTTTTTTTTTTCATTTTGCCAACGGGTCATGTACATTATAATTCTTTTTCGATGTGTTTTTTTGAAATAGTTTTTTTTTCCTCTCGTGCTCCTTTTGAATAATTTGTCACAAATGAGTTTTATATCAAAAGTGATCCTTATAAATATTTTTTTCTAATTGACTCACAAAAATAATTTCTTTTCTCACATATGTCTTTTTTAAATAGTTTTTTTTTTTGGTACAATACTTGTACCTATTGTTTTTTTTTATAAATACATTTTTTTTCTAATTTGCACTGTTGAGGTAATTTTTAAAATAAACTCAAAAGTACTTAATTGTGTATAAATATATTTTCCATTATATAGTAAATAAATAGTAAATAATAAACTATTTAGATAATCTCATGGTAATAAGTGCGGAGCACGTTCTCAAACTAATAATACATAAAAGAGCCAAAACGTGGTGGCCCCTCCACTTATCATTTTTTTCTTTTCTTTTTTTTACTTTTTTATCTTAATTTTTTGTAAGTTCTTTTACATTTTTTTTTTTTTAAATATGTTGTTCCTCATTTTATTCCTATGAGTAATTTTTTATTCCTTAAATAATTGTATAAATGAAATTCTTATTATTTAATGAATAATAAACATCAAGTGTCTCCAACACAACAATACGTTACAAAATTAGTGTTATAACAAATACATTATAAATGAAAGTTGTAGTCACAAGTTAGTAACAAATTATAATGATTTTTTTCCTTGAATGACATTCCATTATCATCATGGAGATGATTGAAATAAATGTGGATTTGCGCTT